TAGCCCTTTTATCACAATGTGAACAACTGAACATTCCCTCTTAACACTTTGTTGGGAGAGTGGAAATCAAATGTCAAGGTTGTTTTGATAAACTTAGACTTGACCCGCCGAAATAACCATCTATATTCTGCACGTTATATCCACGAGTTCATTATAATGTCACTTGGATCTTGTTATACAGTATCTATTGATGGATTCTAGTGCGGAAGGTGCATAAGGATTAGAGGAAAGGTTCAATACTTCTTACAGGCATCGAGGGAAGCGTTATGACGGAGAAAATGGCCGCAATTCAACGATAAAACCGCCCACGTAGACAATTCAAATCCAATCCCTTGGACAGTGTAGTACGTTACAATCAAAGATACACTTTGGGTGCAATGTAGAGTTACGAATTCAGAATAAAATGTTTCATTCTTAGTTGGATTTGGATCTTTATCAGTTTCGTCATCTCAAAAGAGTATCTCATCGAAAAAAAAGTATTTTAAATTTCGTTTTCCAAAAGTGTTTGTAATACCGCATTTGTCCCTTTTTCACTCGTGTCCCGAAATATTATGGAGAAGTAAAACATGTTACAATTCTACCCTTCAGACGAACAACAATCTTACTAACTTTTTTCATCAATAAATAACCCCATCCCCATGCAAGTAACTTCTTTACGACATGATAATGATCACCCACGCGCTATCCGGGCTTTAACTAGGCTTCCATTAGAAATTTTTGACTGGGGAGAAGGGGAGAGAGCCCTGTATGAGAAAAATTAATGATATTTTCAACCCTCAAGTCCAATTAAAAAAAACTTAAACTTTCGTTTAAAATTTTTTCTTCAAGATGAAAGAGGAGTTTGTAGGAATGTGGGTATTAGGAATTGTGAGCCAGTACATTGTGAGATTTCACTGCGTCACTATGAACACTTCTGAAACGAGTAGTTGAAAAAAGGACTTGTACGGGCCTGAATTTTTTTTCCAGGTCCTATTTTAAACTACTCGTTTCAGTAGTGTTATTAGCTGCGAGGAGCTCTTAATTTCATTTCTTCACCGCAGTGCAAATATATGAATTTCATATATCTAAAATCATCATTCACCGCGTCGTTTAAGATCTTTATCGAAGTTCGCTCTTCGATTCCACAAGAATGAGAGGTTACTTCCACTCAACCTTGGATGTTAAACAACTACTGATGAAGAGGTAACGGGATTTTCTTTTTAGTTTCCTCTGGCATGTTGGCAAATTAGTTATCCAGAGAATTTTCTGTCTACGAAGTTCGGAACAAATGATGTTTATTTCTTTAAGACAACCGCTGATCAGACTCTAGTGATTGAGGCTCACGTGAGCCTTGATGACAAGTGGCGGGGGGGGAGGAAAGAGAGGGGCAGGAACGGGAGGTGAGGAGCAGTTTTCGATTTTTCAATTATAAGGTACTGAAGCGTTTAGTGAAAAACTTTAATACGTTTCCTGTGAACAGCGAAATATCATGGATTTTGTTCTAATATCTAATAATATCTATTTCTACTCTTTTTTCCGCTAATAAAACATTGTTTTTGTTAAATCGCTCGTTTTCGTGTTTGTTTTAGGCATGACAGTTTTCGAAAAATCGACCTCCAATGTTACCTTAAATTTGAGCCTCGACATGGGTCGCCACGAGTGTTCGCTGGGGTGATCAGAAAATCTTTCATAACTTGATAAATTTAAAAGATCAGATAAAGTGGATTGTGGTTCTAGAATAAGGACATGAAAGTCTTTCAATGTACAAGAAATCAGCGAAATCTATTTTTCAAGCTAGATCAGCCGGACCGCTTTTATGGATATTCTCTCTTAATTATGAATATGAATAAAAATCATCAATTTACAAGAGCACGATTCTTAAAAAAAAGTACTAATTAGCAACTTAAGAAATTCTTTACTTGGGTCCATATTCTGACTCTTTATTATCCGTAGAACTGCAACCTTTTGTAGCAACCTAAGAAATGAGAAAGTGATGAACTACTTCTTCAGAAATAAAAAACATATCGATTGAGTGAGTTTCCAGATTGGAATATTAAAAGCACAAATAACGCAAGATATTATGAAAAAATTAAAACGGTCTAATTCTCACGTGCTAAAAAAACACAACGAGTAAACCTAAATTAAAGACCAAAAACGTCTATGAATCAGCACAGTTACTAAACTACTACCACGAGTTTCTTTTATAAAACAGCACAAGGATCAACTCTCCTTCTTTTCTGTCTTAGCCAAGATAACTTCCTCCCGACCTCTAGTGTCCTTGAATGTTCTTGACCATACTTGGAGGTATAAATTACCAGTGCACGCTTATAGCAGTCTTTTGCTTCATCTGTGTCGCCCAGATCACTGTGTAAAATACCCAGATTGTTGTAAGACCTTCCAACATCAACATGCTCAGGTCCCAGCTTTTTCAGACGAATCTCCAGTGCACGCTTATAGCAGTCTTTTGCTTCATCTGTGTCGCCCAGATCACTGTGTACAACACCCAGATTGTTGTAAGAGGTTGCAACATGAACATGCTCAGGTCCCAGCTGTTTCAGACGAATCTCCAGTGCACGCTTATAGCAGTCTTTTGCTTCATCTGTGTCGCCCAGATCACTGTGTAAATTACCCAGATTGTTGTAAGAGCTTGCAACATCAACATGCTCAGGTCCCAGCTGTTTCATCTGAATCTCCAGTGCACGCTTATAGCAGTCTTTTGCTTCATCTGTGTCGCCCAGAGCCATATGTAAATTACCCAGATTGTTGTAAGAGCTTGCAACATCAACATGCTCAGGTCCCAGCTGTTTCATCTGAATCTCCAGTGCACGCTTATAGCAGTCTTTTGCTTCATCTGTGTCGCCCAGAGCCATATGTAAATTACCCAGATTGTTGTAACACCTTGCAACATCAACATGCTCAGGTCCCAGCTGTTTCATCTGAATCTCCAGTGCACGCTTATAGCAGTCTTTTGCTTCATCTGTGTCGCCCAGAGCCATATGTAAAGTACCCAGATTGTTGTAAGACCTTCCAACAGCAACATGCTCAGGTCCCAGCTTTTTCAGACGAATCTCCAGTGCACGCTTATAGCAGTCTTTTGCTTCATCTGTGTCGCCCAGATCACTGTGTAAATTACCCAGATTGTTGTAAGAGCTTGCAACATCAACATGCTCAGGTCCCAGCTGTTTCATCTGAATCTCCAGTGCACGCTTATAGCAGTCTTTTGCTTCATCTGTGTCGCCCAGAGCCATATGTAAATTACCCAGATTGTTGTAAGAGCTTGCAACATCAACATGCTCAGGTCCCAGCTGTTTCATCTGAATCTCCAGTGCACGCTTATAGCAGTCTTTTGCTTCATCTGTGTCGCCCAGAGCCATATGTAAATTACCCAGATTGTTGTAACACCTTGCAACATCAACATGCTCAGGTCCCAGCTGTTTCATCTGAATCTCCAGTGCACGCTTATAGCAGTCTTTTGCTTCATCTGTGTCGCCCAGAGCCATATGTAAAGTACCCAGATTGTTGTAAGACCTTCCAACAGCAACATGCTCAGGTCCCAGCTTTTTCAGACGAATCTCCAGTGCACGCTTATAGCAGTCTTTTGCTTCATCTGTGTCGCCCAGATCACTGTGTAAAGTACCCAGATTGTTGTAAGAGCTTGCAACATCAACATGCTCAGGTCCCAGCTGTTTCATCTGAATCTCCAGTGCACGCTTATAGCAGTCTTTTGCTTCATCTGTGTCGCCCAGAGCCTTGTGTACAACACCCAGATTGTTGTAAGAGGTTGCAACATGAACATGCTCAGGTCCCAGCTGTTTCATCTGAATCTCCAGTGCACGCTTATAGCAGTCTTTTGCTTCATCTGTGTCGCCCAGATCACTGTTTAAAGTACCTAGATTGTTGTAAGAGGTTGCAACATGAACATGCTCAGGTCCCAGCTGTTTCAGACGAGTCTCCAGTGCACGCTTATAGCAGTCTTTTGCTTCATCTGTGTCGCCCAGAGCCTTATGTAAATTACCCAGATTGTTGTAAGAGCTTCCAACATGAACATGCTCAGGTCCCAGCTGTTTCATCTGAATCTCCAGTGCACGCTTATGGCAGTCGTTTGCTTCATCTGTGTCGCCCAGAGCCATATGTAAATTACCCAGATTGTTGTAAGAGCTTGCAACATCAACATGCTCAGGTCCCAGCTGTTACATCTGAATCTCCAGTGCACGCTTATAGCAGTCTTTTGCTTCATCTGTGTCGCCCAGAGCCATATGTAAATTACCCAGATTGTTGTAACACCTTGCAACATCAACATGCTCAGGTCCCAGCTGTTTCATCTGAATCTCCAGTGCACGCTTATAGCAGTCTTTTGCTTCATCTGTGTCGCCCAGAGCCTTGTGTAAAGTACCCAGATTGTTGTAAGACCTTCCAACATCAACATGCTCAGGTCCCAGCTTTTTCAGACGAATCTCCAGTGCACGCTTATAGCAGTCTTTTGCTTCATCTGTGTCGCCCAGATCACTGTGCAAAATACCCAGATTGTTGTAAGAGCTTGCAACATCAACATGCTCAGGTCCCAGCTGTTTCATCTGAATCTCCAGTGCACGCTTATAGCAGTCTTTTGCTTCATCTGTGTCGCCCAGACCCTTGTGTACAACACCCAGATTGTTGTAAGAGGTTGCAACATGAACATGCTCAGGTCCCAGCTGTTTCATCTGAACTTCCAGTGCACACTTATGGCAGTCTTTTGCTTCATCTGTGTCGCCCAGAGCCTCATGTAAATTACTCAGATTGTTGTAAAAGGTTGCAACATGAACATCCGCAAGTCCCAGCTGTTTCATCTGAATCTCCAGTGCACGCTTATAGCAGTCTTTTGCTTCATCTGTGTCGCCCAGAGCCTTGTGTACAATACCCAGATTGTTGTAAGAGCTTGCAACATCAACATGCTCAGGTCCCAGCTGTTTCATCTGAATCTCCAGTGCACGCTTATAGCAGTCTTTTGCTTCATCTGTGTCGCCCAGAGCCATATGTAAATTACCCAGATTGTTGTAAGAGCTTGCAACATCAACATGCTCAGGTCCCAGCTGTTTCATCTGAATCTCCAGTGCACGCTTATAGCAGTCTTTTGCTTCATCTGTGTCGCCCAGAGCCATATGTAAATTACCCAGATTGTTGTAAGAGCTTGCAACATCAACATGTTCAGGTCCCAGCTGTTTCATCTGAATCTCCAGTGCACGCTTATAGCAGTCTTTTGCTTCATCTGTGTCGCCCAGAGCCATATGTAAATTACCCAGATTGTTGTAAGAGCTTGCAACATCAACATGCTCAGGTCCCAGCTGTTTCATCTGAATCTCCAGTGCACGCTTATAGCAGTCTTTTGCTTCATCTGTGTCGCCCAGAGCCTTGTGTAAAGTACCCAGATTGTTGTAAGACCTTCCAACATCAACATGCTCAGGTCCCAGCTGTTTCAGACGAGTCTCCAGTGCACGCTTATAGCAGTCTTTTGCTTCATCTGTGTCGCCCAGAGCCATATGTAAAGTACCCAGATTGTTGTAAGACCTTGCAACATCAACATGCTCAGGTCCCAGCTGTTTCATCTGAATCTCCAGTGCACGCTTATAGCAGTCTTTTGCTTCATCTGTGTCGCCCAGAGCCTTGTGTAAAGTACCCAGATTGTTGTAAGACCTTCCAACATCAACATGCTCAGGTCCCAGCTTTTTCAGACGAATCTCCAGTGCACGCTTATAGCAGTCTTTTGCTTCATCTGTGTCGCCCAGAGCTTTGTGTACAATACCCAGATTGTTGTAAGAGCTTGCAACATCAACATGCTCAGGTCCCAGCTGTTTCATCTGAATCTCCAGTGCACACTTATAGCAGTCTTTTGCTTCATCTGTGTCGCCCAGAGCCTTGTGTACAACACCCAGATTGTTGTAAGAGGTTGCAACATGAACATGCTCAGGTCCCAGCTGTTTCATCTGAATCTCCAGTGCACGCTTATAGCAGTCTTTTGCTTCATCTGTGTCGCCCAGATCACTGTGTAAAGTACCCAGATTGTTGTAAGAGGTTGCAACATGAACATGCTCAGGTCCCAGCTGTTTCAGACGAGTCTCCAGTGCACGCTTATAGCAGTCTTTTGCTTCATCTGTGTCGCCCAGAGCCTTATATAAATTACCCAGATTGTTGTAAGAGCTTGCAACATGAACATGCTCAGGTCCCAGCTGTTTCATCTGAATCTCCAGTGCACGCTTATGGCAGTCTTTTGCTTCATCTGTGTCGCCCAGAGCCTTGTGTAAAGTACCCAGATTGTTGTAAGACCTTCCAACAGCAACATGCTCAGGTCATAGCTTTTTCAGACGAATCTCCAGTGCACGCTTATAGCAGTCTTTTGCTTCATCTGTGTCGCCCAGATCACTGTGTAAAATACCCAGATTGTTGTAAGAGCTTGCAACATCAGCATGCTCAGGTTCCAGCTGTTTCATCTGAATCTCCAGTGCACGCTTATAGCAGTCTTTTGCTTCATCTGTGTCGCCCAGAGCCTTGTGTACAACACCCAGATTGTTGTAAGAGGTTGCAACATGAGCATGCTCAGGTCCCAGCTGTTTCATCTGAATCTCCAGTGCACGCTTATAGCAGTCTTTTGCTTCATCTGTGTCGCCCAGATCACTGTGTAAAGTACCCAGATTGTTGTAAGAGCTTGCAACATCAACATGCTCAGGTCCCAGCTGTTTCATCTGAATCTTTAGTGCACGCTTATAGCAGTCTTTTGCTTCATCTGTGTCGCCCAGATCACTGTGTAAATTACCCAGATTGTTGTAACACCTTGCAACATCAACATGCTCAGGTCCCAGCTGTTTCATATGAATTTTTAACAGCCATTTACCATAGACTAGCGCCGCTCTAAACTCACTATGGTTTAGGCACATGTAATTAAGGCTCCAAAGGCCATCCAGAAAATTACACAAGGCTCTTTCGGTCGCTTCTGGTAATCCTTTCCCGAGTGACATGTCTTCAATTTTTAAGCTCAACGTTTGAAGATGGGGAACTATTCTTGTTCCCACAACAATAGATTCTAGCTCTTCAAATTTTGAGAAAGACGTTACCGCGCCATACACCACTTTGTAGCTTTGATCCTTTGCGAAACCTTTTGTCGCAGATTTAATAACATCAAGAACCACACCATGGACTCGAATATAAACACCAGTTGATTCTTCTTCAATTAGCAACAGTGAACATCGACTCATCCTTGTTCTTATCATATCTTCATCTTCATCTTCAAAATCGTCATCAGTTGCTTTGATATACTCGGTAATAATGTCTTGCAGGATCGGCTGTGATGCACACATTGAGAGAAAAAGGAACGTGCGATGCCAAATTATGTCATCTGCCATCGCCTTTTCGACGGCGAGTGTTATTGCTTTGGTCATGGACTTTGAATAGCTTGGATTTGTCTCAGCAAGAATGTTTTCAGTAGCACTTCGTTTCCCCATTTCCAATTTCTTCAAATAGTCGGTCCAGCCAAATTTCGAGGTTGCTTTATTCTGACGAACTTGTCTTACATACGTGGCTGCGCCTGCCAAGGCAAGTGGCTGGTAGTCGAGTACTTTCGCAGTTTCTTTTATAATCTCGACATCCGTGGTTCCAGTGAGGAGGTTAAGCAGAGAGCATGCATCATCAGGATGCATTCCTGCGCTGATTGAGATATTTCGTATGGAAGAGCTTGACAACGGTATAGACGCAGTATCTTGTGTTGTTATTAGCATCTGACCCCTTGCCCATAGCTCGTTTCCTGCATCTGGCAAATGATCGCTTGTACGAGATACGCTGGTCACATTATCAACTACCAACAGCCATGAAGTGTAATGCTCAATTTTTGTACTTATTAAGGTCTTGAAATATGAAATCTTCTCGTCTGTGTTCAAATCCTTGGAGCGGTAAGTGTTTGTTATTTCATACCCGGGACATTTGCAATGTTGAGCGAAAAGGACATACGATTTCAAAAGTGCTTCTGAGTTTTCAGCATTCAACGTCATGACAAATGAAGCTGCGGAAGGTATTTGTTCGACCTCGTCGTAAAATCGCTTGGCTGCTAAACGGGCCAGCTGAGATTTTCCACTTCCCGGATTTCCTGACAAATACAGCATGCTCAACCCATCATTGGCGTCTTTTAGTGTTTGGAGGTTTTGTAAAACTTCACCAACTTCAGATTCCCGAGGAGCGATGTCGTGGCTAGGTTTGGGAGGGAGAATGCAAAATGGAGAGACATCGGAATGTAATTGCTCTTCTAAGGCAAGCCTCTGTTCTTCTTTTTGTTGAACTTCCTTGTCCTTTTCTAGAACTTCCTTTTCCTTCTTGTTAACTTCTTGTTTCAAGTCGTCCACCTTCCTTAAAACCTCGTCTAACTCCTCTGTTAAGAAGTTTGTCTGATTTTGAACTTCATTGATTTTCAATGTCGGGAGACCGATTGCGTGGAATGCAGTTTTAACCTTTGTAATAACATTTTGGAAATCTCCGTTGGAGAGGTGGCCCCGTCGCATATGTGCAAATTCTTCATTTCGAAATTTCCTTAGGTCGTCCACATTTGATCTAATTGATGGATTGAGTGAATATATGCAATCTGAATACAGGATAGCGTAAAACAGCATGGTACAATCCCACTCAGCTCTATCGCCATTCTTCATGGTTTTCAACAGCCCAGCGTTTCTTTTTCTGTTTCGAGTAGACTCGCCATTCCAGAAGTCCATTCCATTTTTGGGTTGATCTTTCCATTCTCCCAGTGTTGTCTTGTATCGATTGTCCCATTCTTGTTTGAAGATGGTTCGCAGACCCTCAGTTAGTATGTCAGTGACAACGTAACAAATCCTGTAGTAATTCAGTTGCTCTGTGGTGTACTTCAACCCAGTGGCCATTTTCAGTTACATCCTATTAAAACCATAGTTATGTTAGTACCTAATTCGGCTATGTCGGTAGGTCGCTATACTTTCGCTGATCCTTCAACGGTTTTGTGGTACTTGGTGTGATTATTTATTAACCTACCAAGATATTTTCGCTGATACATTTCAATTATATTCTAGAGAGGAAGTAAGGGCAATTGAAAAAATCTCGCTTTCAAAACAATTTGCTTGATGAAGTCAGAGGCTAATAGAAGGGAGGAAAATAGAGTGATAAAGATTCACTGTCACTCAGAACTTAAACGTCAGTATAATACAGAAAAGACTTCAAAGCAACAGGGATACGGTCTGTGTGTGAAAGAAACCATCTACTTGCTTCCCTATTTGTTAACTTGTTTGTTTCCTTCAGTGTTCAATTGGTTCCACGATGGGTATTTTTTCGAGACACAGTCGACCTGAAATATGGAACTCGACAGATCTCACCTGATTTGGCCCCTTCGCATATTAGAGAGGAAAAATTAGGTTAAAATGTTGATACTGAATCACTCAGCCCAAGCACAAAATTACGCAGGGAACTGATGGTCGAAGTCAATGACAAGGGAGTTTTTAAGCTGTACGATTATCGTCTTCTGCTGAGCTGGTAGTTTTTTTCAGCTTGTGAGGTAATTGGTGATGGTACTCTTACAAAAGCTAAATTGCAAGTCTCCTAACATCAAGGATCACTTTTCCCTTGGTTCAAGCATGCTGGCAAAAAGTCAAAACCAATCATCACTCTTACATAAATACAAGAGAAGTTCGCCGACCTGATCTCAACGACACCTATAGCTATTCTGGCTGCAGTCCTGCACTCCTGGTAGGGTCACCCTTGCCGAACAGGTCGAAGGGTTAAAACCAGACAAAAAGTGATCCCCTGTCCCACAGTTGAGGGTTGGGCGCAGGGTTAACAACCCTGCCCCGTAGAGAGAAACACATGTAACAAGCCGAATGCATCGACGATACAACTCAAACCGGACGTGTTGCTGCTGGGGCCGTAATGACGCTCCTCGGCCAAAGCCGGCGGGAAGCCTAAAGGCCGATAGGCCCCATAATAGCCCCCATCAGTTTCTTGAACGCAAGGACTATGGCGGAGGCAACACGAACAGCGCTAGTGGCCAAGAGATGGTAGGGTGTGGAATTGAAGTGTTAGGGATAAGCGAGACCAGATGGAAATGGATAGGATCAAGAACACTGCAAGGTAGTGAGAGGGTGGCGTACGTGGGAGATGAGGGAGTGCAACAAGGAGGAGTCCCCATCATGATGAGTGTGAGGATAAAGAGAGCCTAAATGGAATGGATGCAAATCTGCATGAGGACCATTAAGGCAAGATTCTACTCAAAACACAAAAGCTAACGGTAATAAAAGCATATGCACCAACAGACGATGCGATGGACGAGGAAAAGGATGAATATTACAATCAACTGCGAGACTCTGTTGCAAGCTGCACTAGTCATGATATGATTTTGATGATGGTAGACCTGAACGCTTACGGGAGTAACAACATTAACAGAGAGGTGGTTCTGAGGAAATTTAGTGTCTGAGTCATGAATGATAATGGGAAAGGTTATGTGACCTCTGTGGTACGAATGGCTCAGTTGTAACTGGAACAGTTTCCCACAGAAAGAGATCCATAAGCTGACCTGGAAGTCACCAGGTGGGAAGACTGTTAACCAGCCAGGTTAAGGATGCGTTCAGGAAAGCAAAGCCAGGGCCCAGACCTACTAAGGGCTGACATGGAATACACCGCAAGTAGGCAGACTGATAATATAACAGGCTTTGGAAAAGTAAAAGGTGGCCAGAAGTGTGTAAGAAGGGACTTGTTGTCAATAAATTAAGAAAGGTGATTTGCGTGATTGTAACAATTGGAGAGGAGTGACTTTGCTACCCACCATCAATAGAATATTCCAAAGGATGCTGCTAGAACGGATCAAGAAAGGTTTAGACAAGAAGCTTAAAAAAGACCAGGCCGGCTTTAGACCAAATGGAAATACAACTGAACAGATCTTTACATTAAGGAAACATCTTAGCGCAGGCAAATGACTGGAGGGGGAGTCTGCACACGCACTTTGTGGACTTTGAAAAGAAGCCCTCGATTCGGTACACAGAGAAAGCTCGTGGAACACCACGGGGAGCTATGGAATTCCGCGCAAGATGGTGAGAGTGGTAGTGGGGATATACGGAGGGTTTGAATGCGCCGTAATCGACGGATGGGAGATATCAGACTGGTTCAAGATTTAGTCAAGAGTAAAGCAGGGAGAGCATTGTGGTGAATGGTGAAGAAGTGAAAGATGTGGAGGAGTTTGCGTATCTTGGAGCTATTGTAGAAAAGAAAGGTGGAGGCAGCGAAGATATTAGGAACAGAATGCAGAAAGCACGAGGTGCATTCCAGAGGCTATGGAAGGTCCATGGCCCAACGAGCGATGATGATGATGATGCTGATACACACCACACGTGACAGTTAACTTTAAACGTGCGATCGTAACCCGTGGTTTCTTGGCGAAAGGAAAGAAATAATTACTGTGTAGCTAGAGATCGGAAACGAAAATAAATTTAGAGAAAAAAGTGTACCGAACTTCTGGGGTACACTGTACTCTCAATCGTCAAATTCTTTCATTACTTATCATCAACGTTCACCACGTCTCAAACTTCCAACGCTCTCTCCTCAAACCTTTCACTCTAATTATCACCTCTCCTATTTCAATATTAACCTAACCGTGACTGCGTGAGTCTCATGTCACGCAACTTCCCTTTAAAAGGTTACTTGGAACTTACTTTCGAATCACTGAGTTAAATGATACATACCGTTCTAGAAGTTTGGCAAAACTTGGGAATACTTGAACTGTCTGCAATCAAAGGTTGAACAATTTAGAATCACGTGCTTTTAAAGCTGCTCAAGCAGCAAAATTATCTGTAGGTTCTTTTTTTATATCATAAGCAAAAAACGCAGGCACTGTGTTTGGTTCTTACCTAAGATCTATTGGAGGACAAATGCATTTATTGTACAAAACAAATAGAATCCATGTTGCCTGGGTTCTTTATGATAATAGATCACAGATGACGTCACAAATGTGGTAAAAACATCAGTGACACACTCAGCTGCGCTTCGTGTGCCTCTTCTTTGTTCTTACTACATTTTGACGTCATCTGTGATTTCTTACTAAACAAACGCAGGGTAACATGTAAGTTATTTTTTAAATTAACAAGTATGAAGTGTAGTCTGTTGTTATTTTCGGTCTTTCACTTCCTATCACAAAATGACACAGACATTTGAAGCGCTTTAGCCCAATTATTTAATGGATATCAAAACTTTTTGAATACGCTGTTAGACATTCTGGACTCCTTCTGGCGGAAGCAGCTATCCTGCGCCTTCTGCATCAAGTGCTGCCACGATTACTGAGTTTCTGTTCCTCAAGGTTTTTTTTTGCAAGTATTCCGAAAAATGTTTACTTTCTGTCCACGGTTTATGTGACCGTAATCAGTCAAGGATTACATTCGCAGCTGGTCATGCGTAATAAAGGAATACTGAAAAACGAAACGGAATTTTTGATGGAAACTGGCTGGAAAAAGGATTTCTATTGGAATTAACAGGCGTAATTCTATGGAATACTGACATTCGGAACATGATTTAAAAAGACACTTAGCGAAAAGAATTTGTTTTCTTTGCTGTTAATTTTTTCCTTCTTTATCTCCCACACAAGAGATCTCACAAGCTTTGTATCAGTCTATGTATTAGTCTACAAAAGTGTACAAAATTCGTGGCTAACTTGAGAGGGGGCTAATCCAGAAGATCATAATTTACAAGAAAAAAACTTCGAGAAATTTTAAATGGAAAAGACAATACTCCTAAGGCGTTGATCAAATGAATATGATGTCAACCAATGGGCCATTTCTCTTGATTCGCTAAAGTAATAACTTTACTGAGTAGGTTATTGGGTTGCGTCAGTTGAGACAAGATAATTTATTTCCTCTTGGATATGAAAATGTGAATTCTTAAACAGAGGCCAACAATGTTTCATTGTCCAGTTACAGAATGTTTAGATCAAAGTCCTTTTTAAGAATGAGCAAGGACTGAATTACTAAAATGAGGAGAACGAAGGAGTTCCTCACCGTAGGGCATGGGATATGACCCCTTCCTAAGTCCAGTGGGTAGTTATCTAGAAAACTCCCCTATCAGCGAAAGTGGGTGGGGGGAGGCCGGGGCGAGGGTATTAATATAAACACCATTCTAACATCTCTAACTCAAGAAAAAAAGCGGATGAAGAGGCGACCTTCGGGCACGCGTGCCTGGCGTGATTACTACAACAATCGAATTTAAATTATGTCCAAGAATATTTTGATCAAAGTCCTTTTCGGAGCAGAAGCAAGGATAACACATTAAATTTAAACAGCCTTTGTACGATTTCCGTACAAGCGTCAAAATTTCAGCCAGTGTGGCGACAATCTTGTAAGCGTATCGCGTGATGCTTTAATTTCTAATTCAGCAATTAAGCTCAGGGTTACTTAAGATTTAGATGTATAATTGAGTGTAGCATAGTAATGACAGACATGTAGCAAGAATGTTCGGATTGCGCACAGCAGAAGTGATATAGACAATCAATAATGGTCTCAAATAATCCAATAAGGAATTTTCTTGGGAAAAACTTCAAATAACTGATGTCAATCTTCGTTTTATATAGTTCAGGCGTGTAATTCCGTTGTAATAGCAGATAAATAGAATCACTATCTTGTAACAAAAGATCGTGATCGATTGAATGTAGAAAGTACGGATATTGTATGGATCTTAAATAACCGCAAGAAAGCGGAACGATATTGTCCTATTGGTTGTCGAACCAGCTCTCCGCAGAGATTTTCCTTAACGAAGTGGGAAGTTCTGCAACAACCAGACAAGACAACAAACAAAAATGCTTCATGCGCAACCAGCCTTCAACTCGTAAACAGAACACGATAGCGAAACCACTGTCTTGTGACCCTAACGAATAATT